TGTTTCATTGCTCAGATTATTTTGGAAACGCATATTGTTCACCGATTTTTATGTTTTTCTACGTATCAACATAAAAGATATAAACACAACTCAACAAAATTCGAACCCACAAAAAGTGAACCTCACCTTACACTCCCGTCGATCCTCCCCTCTCCCTGAGAATTTGCAGTGTGTTGCTCCAGAATTTTTCTTACAAAGTTCTCTAAATACCGTGGCTTCAAAAAACATGTGCTTCGATTTATGTTTTTTACTTAAATGAAAACATACTTTGCACACTACTATACAACTTTCTTAGTATATTTAATATTCAGAAATATGTCTTGGCGTGAGTTTCGTGACGGCTCACGTGCGGCCAGCCACGCCATTTGTTATAGGGCTGAGCCAGAGCTGGGTGTCACATCTGCCCGTCGCTGAACGTGCATTTCCAGGAAAATCCAGGAAAATCCAGTGTCAACTTCTTGTCCCATACTCCAGTGCCAGAGGTGCTCAGGGTTCTCTTGGGCAGGACCGTTCAGCCAAGTCCATAGAGCAAAGTGTGGATGTGGCCTTCAAAAGGGTGAGCGAGGTGGAGACGGGCCTCCTCTCCTGAGCGCCACGGACGGGCAGGTCCGCCTTCGCTTGCCCAGTGCTCGCGGCCGGCCGGGGGGTGCTACAGACCCCAGCGCGCTGGGGCGCAGGCTCGGCCCTCACGCAGAGTGCTCGTCTGTTCAGGCTGCAGTGACGAAATTCCTCCGACGGCCTGGCCACAGACGGGAAACTGTTCCTCAGAGCTCTGGAGGCTGGAGTCCAGCATCAAGACGCCGCAGCTTCCGTGTCTGCTGGGGCTTCTCCTCACATGGTGGCCGGGCGAGCTGGCTCTCTGGGGTCCCTTTCCAAGGCCCAGACCGCCTCATGAAGCCCTGGCGCAGGACTGAGTCACCTCCCGAAGGCCCCATTCCCAAACACTCCTACTGAGGATTAGGTTTCAACACCAGAATTTTTGGCGACACAAACTTTGAGACCACAGTCCCCAGCTCTCTGGGTTCCCAGAACCCTGCGGGAGGGCCGGGTGGCGCCTGCCCCCTTTTCACCATGAGGCTTCCATGGAAGCTTCTTGCCCGAGGCAGGAAGCTGAGGAAACCCGGGGGTGCCCCCGCCCCCATCGCTTTCTCCACATCCCTCTCGCCTCTGTCACACGCTCAGCTGCGCCAGCAGACACCAAGCTCAAGCGCATTAACACACAACGGGGTGACCTGCTCACACGAGTCCACCCGGTGACCCACGGGCCATGGCGGCTGGATTCCCGCTGAGTGCTTTCACTCTTCCATCTCCCGATGGCCTCCCCATTGCTTCAGGAAGAGTAAATGCACCACGTGGTGAGCCCTTCTGCTGCAAAGCAGACGTGACGTCACGTCTGCTCAGCGACCGTGGGCGACCCTCAGTCAGCCTCATAGGCCACAGAAGGTCTCACAGCTGTGCCCACTTGCAGGGAGGCAGGGAAGCCCCAGCCCCCACCGTAGGTCTGGCAGAGGAAGGAGACCTGGACCCAGGAGCACCAATCTCCCTCCCGTTCTCTGGGTGAGTGACGGCGATGCGTCCAGGCAGGTGGTCTGCCAGTTAGACCCGGTCGTGAGTAGCCACGTGTCCCACAGAGCGCCTTGGCTCCTGCTCGGCGGCAGGGAACCGTCTCCTTCTGGAAAGCCAGAGACAGCTCCCATGTTCTTCTCCCCATCTGTTTGGCATTCGCTTTTCCTTCGCTTGCACTGCTGTCCCCAGGTGACCCTACTCTAAAAGTCCCTTGAGAGACTAACCCTAATGATGAGTACCTGAATAGCACTTACAACTTCTCAAAGGATTTTCAATCCATTCTTCAGTTCATGGGCACCACACCTTCAGAAGACAGGAAGGACGTTGGCAAGACGGGGATGGTGCCTGGCAGGGCCCCGGCCCACCAGCGGGTCACCCGAGTGCAGGGGCAGCTCCTGACAGGACGACCTTGCCAGCCCACATGCCCACCCCTCCTCTCTCTGCAGTCGCCATTCTCTGTGCCCATGAGGACATACCTGCTCAGCCCGCCTTCGGGTGGCTTAGAAGTGTCTGGAATTTAAGCCCTACATGGTGACTCTCAACCATGGGTGATAAGCATTTGTACATAAACAGTCCCCCATCCTCGTCCCTGGGGGACACCAAGGCACATTCTGCTGGAGTGGGGCTCAGGGGACAAGCAGGGTGGCACCCAGTGCCCCTCCCGTTCTGTGCCCTGGAAGCTCCTCTCCCTCCCTGGCTTGTGTCCCCACTCCCCACCTTGACTTCTGAGATCACCTCCCAAGGCACGTGCCTCTCAGCCCTCGTCATGAGGTGTGCCCATTAGGACAGGCGGCAGCAACCCTGGTTCACAGTTGAGGAAACATATTGCCCCCAGGGGAGTGCTTGGCAGTGTCTGGGGCACTTTTGGTCGGCCCTGCTCGTGGGCAGGGTGCCACAGCATCTTGCGGTGGAGCCCAGGGCTGCTGAACACCTGGCCTTGCCCAGGAGGAGCCCAGAGCATGACCCAGCCCAGAAGTCCACAGCGGTGAGGTCCAGGGGCCTGGCCTGCTTCTGCAGAGCTCTTTTATTAACAGCTTGTTCTGGACTGAAGCCTGGGTGCGTAATTATCAGCCTTAGATTTCTGCTCAAGCAAAATTAGCAGAATACCCCCATTTCCCCATTGGATCAAGTGTGCCGTGAAATCCGTACCTTCTTTATTCCTTCCCGTTGGCCCTTATGCCAAGCTGCCTCGCTGGGGATGCGTCTGCGCAATCGTCAAGAGACCACGACTGTGCATGCCCACAGTTCCATGGCGCACAAGCACATCACACCCAACCACAGCTGTGCAGCCGGCAGTCAGGCGTCTAGACAGAGCACCGTGTGCTGCAAAAGCACGCCCGGTTTTCGTCCACGCAGGTTGGCTTGGGTGCCCCCTGCCCGTGCCCAGCCTCAGGCCCCTCCTCGCATTGCGTCCCCTGCAACCTTAAAGTTTCGGCATGGCCGTCACCCCCTCCAGGGGGCACCCTGACCTCTGCCTTGGAGGAGCTGGCACGCCTCATGCACAGCACTCACCAGCCTCCATTTTTGTGCCACATGCTCCTCACGGAAAGGGTGAGGGCAGCAGCGCCTCTCCTCCTCCACACCCCAGGGTCCGGGCTAAGGTGCTCAGGAAGCATCAGCAAGCGGGGCCATCAGGCCCCTCTGGTTCTCAAAACCACGTCACCCACCCGTGAGAAATCAGAGACATGGTGTGCCCACTGGCTGGAGGTCGCAGTCCACTGGGTCACTACGGCAACCCTGCTGACTCATCACACCCTCCCGCACTGTTCAGGTGGCGTATGCAGACACGTGCATGCATATGTGCACACATGCATGCACACACATATGCCACATACACAAACACACACATGCTTGAGCAAAGTCCCCTCTCTTGAACTATTCTCGGACCCGGTACACAACAGGCCTCCTCGTGGGGTCTGGCTTCTGACATTTTCAGGGTCTCCTGGGACACACCCTCTAAAGCATCCACAACGCCTCAATTAAGAACAGCTTGTGAGGGCTTCCCTTTCACTGCACAGAAGCAGGGTCTTCCCAGAGCTGCCTCCCATCTCTTTCAGGGAAGACATGCCCTCCACTTTCTTCATCTGGGCCAGATGCCTGTGGGCTGCAACACCCACATGAAGCCGCTTGCAGAGGCCCTTCCTGTCCGCCCTCCTGTTTCGAGGGTGAACAGGCACAGCACGGAGTTCACGGCAACCCACACTAGCGTCTGCTCCCCCTGAAGTCATGTGGGCATTCGGGCTGGGCTTTGGCCTGATGTGGTCATGGTGCCCCTCTGCTGCCCCACCAGGCCTTTCTAGGTGACCTTGCTGCCCCCTGCTGCTGATCTGGGCAGGAGGGCGCTCCCCCGGGCTAGGCTCCTTGCATGGTTTTCCGTCTCAAGAAGCTCCTTTTCTGGGAGAAGGGGAGGCGGTCCTGGCCAGGAGGAAAGGAGCCGTGGGAAGGCCGTCCCAACATCTCAGCACCTGCTCTGGATTGGACGGTGCTCCCCACCCCCAAATTTGTATGCTGACATCCTGATCCCAGGACCTCCGGTGATTATATTTGGAGACAATATAGAGATTAAATTGAGGTCGTTGAGGTGGGCCCTTAACCAACAGGACTGGTGTCTCTTATGAGGTTAGGGCAGATGCAGACGGATGCCCATGTAAGAATGCAGGGAGAAGACCCCTCTACATGCCAAGAAGGCCTCAGGAGGGACCAACTCTGCTCTCACCTTGATCTCCTATGTCCAGCTCCGGAACCGAGAACACACTTGCTGACAAACTCCCTCTGAAGGTACTTTGTTATGGCAGCCTGAGCCGACAGCGCTCCGCCAAGCTTGGGCCTCCAACTCCTAATCCAGGTGAGCTGGCCAGGACCAGCCCGCTCCATCCCTCTAAGTCCTTGCCAGCTTAGGTGTGGCCATCCTCTAGCAAGGGAGCTCCTCACCTCCCCCTGAATCTGGGCTCACCCTAGGGACTTGCTGAACCAACAGAGTGCAGTAGAAATGCCACGAGAGAATTTCTCAGGCTGGGTCATAGGAAGCCTCCCAGCGTCCGAGTGGGTTTCTCAAGACAATCTCGGGAAGCTCACTCTTGGGCAGCGCAAGCCACGCCCTGAGCCAGAGGTGCCACGTGCCGTTTGAGCGGCACTGAGGCCCCAGACAGGAGTGCTGGTGCCATCTTGGAAGTGAGTCCTGAAGTTAATGCCACATAGATCAGACAGCTCCGCCGAGCCCATGCCAAATGCCTCACAAATTTGTGAGCAACGGAAAATGGATGATTGAAGCCACTAAGCTTGGTTTGTGCAAGGACAGGTGACCAAACACTGACTCCCAAGAGGCCCTAAGCAGCCTCAGGAGACTAAAGAACTCCTGCCCCGCCTCACACCCCGCACCACCCCACCCCTACTGCAGCCAGAGTTCAGGGAGAATGAATGAACTAAGCTATTCAGTCTATTCAAACAGGAAAATGTTTTTAATTGGAGCGTTTTAGAAATGAGATGATGCAATGTCTTCTATAGGTCCTCATTTGAACTGGTAAGTGACAGGTAACCTTTAGGGCGTTTGCCTCCAGTCGCTCTCCTGACTCCCTGATGCGATAATTCCTAAGACACAAGCACTCCCGATGACGAGAATGTGCGTGACTGGAGGGAAAGGGACTACATCTGTCTCTGCTTGTGCCTCGGGTGGGTTTTACAGTAGATGTACCACCGGCCCCGCCTCTTCACCCGGTAACAGTCCTTGCAGCGTTTCTTAAGGACACCCTTGGTTTTGAACCCCAGCGCAGGCAGCAGGTGCGGCAGGAGGCCGGGGGAGAGAAATGACCGCACTTCTGCCCCCGGTTCCACAGCCACGGGGGCCGCACCTCGAAGGGATCCCAACAGGAACGTGGAGAGGGCTGGAGGCTTCAGTGTGTGACGACTGAGACACAGCAGAGGGTTCACCATTTTCCTTATTAAAAGAGTTGCCATGTCGTGGCGATCTATGGGAGGGGGAAAAAAAGGTGTTACAGCTTCTCCTGTGTTTCCACCCGCTATTTAAGGCGTCCTTTCCCGTTTCACTGAGGCTTGGGAAGGCAGCGACTGCGGGGTCGGAGAGCGTTTCCACACCAGCTGCAGCCTCGACCACAGGCTCGGCTGCCTTAATCGGCCAAGTGTGCCAGGAGAGTCAGGGCCTGGACGGCGGCTGCCTTCCCTTTCCCGCCCGCTGAGGTGTCGGCGGGTGCGCACAGCCGCGCGATGCCGAGGAGCGGCTGAATGGCCGGGAGGCCCTTACGCTGAGGCCGCATCCCTTTCCGACAGTCACGCCGGGTCAAGGGCGGTTCAGCGGACGACCCCTCCGTCCCACTCTCCCCAGTCCCAGGGACCCCTCGGGCCAGTTTCAGGACAAAACCCCGAGGCCGCAACGCCCCGCCTCCGCTGGGAAGTGCTCCGAGCCCTGGCAGCCCGGCCGCCCGCCCCTGCTTCCCCACGCGCCCGGGGCCCCACGGTTCAGCGGCCCGGGCTGGGAGGAGCTGCGTCTGCAGCGCCCGCAGGACACCGCGACCCCGGGGCAGGCTCTGCGCGCGGGCTGTGGGGTCGCGCTCGGAAGCCGCGGGGTCCCCCCCCCCCCGCCCCGGGGTCGCTCGACACCCCCTCCCGCCGCCCGAGGTCGGACCCGCCCCCCACCCGACCCTCCGACACCGCCAGGGCCGGTCCACGCTTCTCTGACCGCGGACCACTCGGGGAGACGGGCCTAGGGGACCCAAGGTGGCCGGCCCCCGCCTCTCCAACCCGGGACCCCTGACCTGAGAAGGCAGCGCAGGTACCGAGCCCCAAGCCTTCGGCCCGCGCCTGCGCCTGCGCACTGGGACGCGGACGCCGCTGCCAGGAAGAAAAATGGCGGCGGGAGTCACGTGGCGTGCCCACGTCCAGTGGCGGGCGCAGAAGCGCAGCCGCGAGTGCGCAGGCGCTGGAGAGCGAGGCTCGCAGACTGCGCACTCCCTGCGGGCAGGGGCACACCTGTGCCGTGGGACTGGGGCGCTCCCGGCAAAAGGTGCGAAAAACAGGGACGAAAATGGATATTCGCAACCAAAAAGAAATTACAACCCATTAGACCTTAGAAAAAGCTGACAAGTACCAAAGTCAAAAAACTGAGAAAGAGGACATGTTTTTAAGGGGACATCCCGGGAGAAATGTCAACGGGCTCCGGGAAACGAGCGGAGACCGGCACTAGTTCCAACTGGGTACGGCTGTTTTCCCCGACGTTATGGAACGCTTCAGACATGTAGAAAAAGGGGGAGGCCTTTACAGTGAGCACCCGTATACTTGCCACCTAGATTCTACAGTTAGCTCGCTTATCCCTGCCTTTTCAGGGATGTACCCGTGGCTCCACCCGCCTCCCTTTGCGTGTGTCCAGGCGAGTTGCAGAGGTGGCTGCATCCACCCCGCGCTCCGTGCAGGCCCCAACGCTTCGGGCGCATCGGGCGCATCGCAGCGTCCACTTTTCACTCCTGACTCGGCGAACACCAGGCGGGCCTGCGGAGTTTATCAGCTCCAGGACAAATCTGCCCCTGACCACCACGTTTACTGGGACAGCATTCCCAGTTTTCGGGGGCTTTTTCTGTGCATTCTTGTTTCTCACCGCCTTTCTCCCTCTTCGTCTCCCCGGCCTCTCATCCGTCTCTAGTGTTTTGTTCTTGGAGTCACCTGGTCCTCAGGCTCTGACCACAGCAAATAAAAGCTGGATGCTGGAGCGTTAAGCTGGGATTTGTACCCAAGTCAGCTCTGAACAAAATGGGCCTTTTTAGAGGCTGTGTTTGCATGCTGGATAAAGACAATTGGCGTACTAAGCTCTGCTGCAGAAATCTTCCAAATATACTCTTCCTCCGCGGTTCCCCAGAACCTCACACAGGAACGCTTGCCTTGAACCAGGAGAATGCACTTCCAGTCTCTTCTGCTAAGCAGTCGACTCCTTCACCCAATAAAAGTTTTTGATATGTAAACGTCTCATGATTATCGGTTACCATAGGAACATAAACAATGTCTTTTCAGTTTGCATCCTCCCCTGCCTGTCCCTTAAATAAGAACCACTGGGAACTCCTAAGAGCTGAAGATTGCGCACACCGCGGCCTGCCTCATCCGGGCCCTAGCTCCAGCCTGAGGCTGCAATCGCCAGAGGCTGCACCTATGCCGGGTGTAGTGGCTCACGCCTGTAATCCAAGCACTCTGGAGGCCAAGGCGGGAGGAGCACCTGAGGTCGGGAGTTCGAGGCCAGAGACGCCACCTGCGCAGCGCATGCGCACCCTCCGCCCCGACCCGCGCGCGCTCCCCAGAGCGAAATAAGTCCCGGGAGTATGGGCGCCGACAGAAGCCGTGCGCATGCGTCGGCTCTAAGAGCGACGTTGCGCCGGGTCAAAGGTCAGCCGCGCAAAATGGCGGCGGCGGCGGCGACCTTCTGCCGGCTGTTGTGCCAGTCCGGCGCGGCTGCGCGGAGCCTGCCCCTCGGCGCCAGGTGTTTCGGGGTGCAGGTCTCGCCGACCGGGGAGAAGATCACACACACTGGCCAGGTAACGGCCGCTGGGTACAAGACTCCTCTTCCTCCGGCCGCACCTCCGGCGGCTGGTGGCGGTGGGCTCGCCGGGCATACGCGGCTCTGGTTCTGTACCAGCGGCCGCGCAGGTCGTGGTAAGGTTGTGCTTGTGTCGCTCACGCGCCGGGAAGGGGGCCTGCGGGTCGGGACGGTGACGGCGGCGGCAGCGGTGGGTCTCGTCCTCCCGGGGCCTGCGGGCTCTGGAACGGGAAGGCTCCCCGGCGGGCAGCCTTTGCTGTGGAGTGACTGCCCATAGGCCGTCCGTGGCCGCTGATTTTTTGGGTCAGCGTTTAGAATTTGTGTAATCTTCAATAATAAACTTTAGTAATCTGAGAAGTCGGTTGTTGTCCAAAGCACACAAATATTGCAAGCCAAAATGAAGAACAAAGGTAAATGTGTCCTAGGAGATTTATTAAGAGGGATATATAAAGCCACCTGGCCATATGCGAAAGGAGGCTGGGGCGGTTCTCCTCGGTGAGGATTTGTCTCTCCTCCTTAGCTTCACCTTCCCGGGCTACTTCTCTGTGCTGCCCTCTGATTCAGGTGCTCACCCGTTTTCATCCCAGGTATCTTGTTAAAAATGTTCCTGATTAACTGTGTACTGTGCCCCTCACTTGTTTGACTTTCCATCAATGGCATGAAAGTTAAGAAAAACACTCACCTGTAATATTTATGATTGATACGAAGTCACTTTTTTCAGAATTAGGCTGTAAAAGTCACACATGGTCTTTTTGGTCTTTTTTCCAGGTTTATGATGAAAAAGACTACAGGAGAGTTCGGTTTGTAGGTCGTCAGAAAGAGGTGAGTAAAAGTTTTAATGAAGAGAGGTGAGCTTTCATAAAACTTTTATGTAACCAACAAGAAATAAAAATTAATATATAAGATTTAAATAAATTCTCCCCCTATTGCAAGGACCCTAGTAGTTCTGGATGGGATTCTACCTTCTAATATTAATTGTGTCTGTTTGTGTCTTGTTTCCCCCGTAAATACATTGCATAACATGGCAACTGTAGTTCTGGTTTATATATAAGTGGAAGTTATCTTTTTTTAAATTCTCATGCCTTATTCTGTATCAACTTTAAAAAATTACTCTTTTAACAGCCTGGAGGAGGTGTGTTTTTCATAGTTTTCACCAAATAAATTAGTATGTGTTTTTACAGGGACTCACAGTGATAAGCTGAAAATTCACATGAGTTTTTCTTCCCTTAGTGGGTCTGTTAGCTCTATACATTGTGAAGGAAGATCAGTTCAGGTCATCTCTGAGTGACCACTGGAGAAAGAATGTTGAAATTAGAATCCTTCTGCCTAAATCAGCCTTTTTTTTTTTTTTTTTTTTTTTAAACCTGACTACCTATCGTTCATGTCTGTGAGCTCCTGAATTCTTAATTAGCTCAGGCATGCTTCCATGTTTCTGGAATTTTTTTTTCATTCTTTTTCCCACTTTGGTTAGCCTGGTTCTTCTTCTTAACACCTTAACGATCCTTAAATCATATATTTTCCCTTCTCCCTTAATCTTGGTTACATTATCCATTCCCAGTGTATAGTTTTTCTTCTTCTGTCCTGGAGCTCCAGGGCATTCCGGTGAAGCTCACATGATCATGAATTGAATGTAAATTCACATTTTCAAAATTCATCTGGTTCACTGTTGTATGATTTGATGAGTGGGTGTCAGAGAAGTTTGTATTATGGTGGTTGATTATTTGACAATGCCCTCAAATGTTGGGTTGAGAAAGATCTTGAGGCTTGATCCACATTCAGTGAAAGAGTGTGTCGTGATTGATTAGTGATGTCTGCCAGGATCGTGGTGGTGGAGAGGGGTCGTGTCTAGTGGGTTTGCCTCTCGGGAGTAGAAGCCGTGTGGACTTGCAGTGTGACAATTGTGAGGTGGAATCACAGCATAGGTTCAGTTTTCTCATTTGTAAAATGGAAACCCTGTGAATGTTTTGAGTAGAATCATAAGTCTCCAGTGAGATCACATGTAATTGTCTAGTACGTGGTGACATATGGCGAGCCCTGCTCCTCTCCATCCTCAGAAAGCCTTGTTTTGTTTATTTGAATTGTTAGTGTATTCTGAGTAGAAGCATCTGTTCTGTATGCTACCTTCTCCAGTGCTGTAGCCCAGTGATTGACACAAAGGAGCCCATGGCATTGGGAATGGGACGTTTCCTCTGCATGCAGGCTATCTTGGTCATCCTTGTTAGGTACATGGACTTGACATTTGGAAGGTGGAAACCAATGGATGTTGAGAGGATTCACAGGCCCTTTGGTTTCTTTTGGCAGTGATCGTGGAGAAGGGGAGTTTTCTCTCAGTGTGATGTGGTGCCCATTCTCAGGTTTCCTGGGCGTCGATGGGTCGTTGTTACTGAGGCAGTCGCTGTACTCGACATCCCTGCTTTGTGGGTGTCGTGGCAGGGTTGTGGGGACAAGGTAGGAGCCCCAGGTAGAACATTTCCAGAGCAGATTGTTCCTGAAACCATTGTGCTCATTCCTGCAACCTGGCCCCCAGCCCAGCTCCCTAACTCAGTTCTTGCTGTGATGTAGCAAATACGTGGGTCCCAGTCACAAACACCTCTCTGCTGAACATTCTTTGTGTAGCTTCTGATTTCTGGTTGGCGTAGCACAGGGTAGCACGGAAACAACTTAAAAAGAAACCAAACAGAATCAGGATTGGTGAAGCCAGTAAGGTTGGGTGCAGGAGAGTGTGGTAGTCGTGCCTGTGATGGCAGCTCACCCAGGCCGTCCTGGCTATGACCTCAGTGCTCCAGCCGGCCCAGCCTCTCCAGTGCCTTCCCCCCATTCAGCATCCCGAGTGTCCGGGGCATGCCTTGGCATCACACCTTGGAGGTTCAAGGCGTGTTTATAACATGATGAGTGGGCATCTTGCCAAGCTCTCCTTTCAGCACAAATTTGTGTTTAGCACTATTTATAATAGTAGTTTTTTGGCTTGTGAAAGACTTAATTTTTTTGGAACACTTTTAGATTTACAGAAAAAGTAGAAGAAAGTAGAGTTTTCACAGCACCCCACCCCCCTCAGTTTCTGCTGTTCACTGCCATGTCTCATTTGTGTGCTGCCTCTGTCGCAGCTGATGAGCTGATACTGATACATTATGATTAACTCAAGTCCACAGGTTCACTCCTGATGTTGTATATTCTAGGGTTTGGGCAGATGTGTAGTGATGTGTCCACCATGACAGTATTGTACAGAGTTCACTGCCCTGAAAATCCTCTGTGCTCTACCTGTTCATCCCTCTTTCCTCCCAACCCCTGACAGCCCCCGATCTGACTGTCCCTCTAGTTTTGTCAGGTAATACTTTAAAAGGTAAACTGGGCCAGGCACAATAGGCTCATGCCTGTCCCCTCAGCACTTTAGGAGGTCAAGGTGGGGTGATTGCTTGAGCCCAGGCATTCAAGACCAGCCTGAGCAACATGGTGAAACCCCGTGTCTACAGAAAATATAAAAATGAGCCCAGCATGCTGGCACATGCCTGTAGTCTGAGCTATGTGGGAGGCTGAGGTGGAAGGATCATTGAGTCTGGGAGGTTAGGGCTGCAGGGAGCCGAGATCATGCCACTGTACCCCAGCCTGGACAGCAGAGCAATGCCCTATCTCCAAAAAAAAAAAGAGGAAGAATAAACTGAATCTAAACCTCACCTGTAGGACAGCGACAGCAGGAAGCTGGATAATTGAACTGGTCTTTGCAGGAAAAAGTGGAAAGTATCTCTGTGTGGCTCCTGCCCAGTTTTGACCGGGGGTGCCTTCAAAGGAAGCCATGGCCCCCGGGCCTGGCTGGAGAATGTGCCACCCACCCCCAACCCTGAAGGAAGGGACCAGAAGTCAGGCCTCACGTGGTTCTGGAGTAGGTAGCACCCTGGGTCCCACGAATGAGGCGGAGGGCTGGAATGGACTTGGAAGTATTTCTCCACTGTTGATGGAAAAGTTTTCATTGCTTTATAGTCATACATGTAAAATTAAAAGCAGGTGTGACCTGTCCTGTAATAGAAGAGGTGATTGGGTGAGGTCTACAGTGAGGTGTAGTGGTAGTGGTCATGCACTGCAGCAGCCTCATAGCCAGGTACGAGACAGCGTCATCTGCTTAGTTGGTCAGAAGCTGGGGCTGCCCTGCCTGGCCGCATCTGGATTCAGGCTCCTGCGCTGATGGGTTTATGAGGGCTATGTGCTTCAGTGACTTATGTCGTTGGCACGTGGGCTTTGAATCCCTGTAGATGAGGGATTAAGTACTGAATTTAAATGTTAGTGTCCATACACAAGGTTTTTTCTTTTGCTTTTTGAAAAGGAATTAGGCAGCAAACCCAGAACATCAGGAGGCTGGGATCCCTTGCGTGCGGCTCTGTGCAGGCCTCTCCACCCATGTGTCAGGATCACGGAGCAGCCGGGGCTTCGGGAGGCTGGGATCCCTTGCGTGTGGCTCTGTGCAGCCCTCTCCCCCTGTGTGTCAGGTTACGGAACAGCCGGGGCTTTAGCCTGTGCCTTCATCTGCCCACCAGTGGGATAGATTCTCTCTCCAAGTGTTCTGCAGTGCTGACTCACTCCCCACCTGCACAGCCCACAGCTGGGCGTTCAGGGCAGAGCAAGATTCTGGATGTTTTCTTCGATACCTGGCTGTCAGGGTTGAGTCCATTTGTGACCCTGTGATCTCACCTGCCTGGCTCTCTGTTCTTCAGAGATCTCACCTGCCTGGTTCTCTGCTCCTGGGTAGCAGGCTCTGAGGTGCATGGCGTCTCCAGGTTTAGGAGCAGCTGCCCACAGTGCCGATGTCTACTTGGCATGCTGTTTTGTTGTGATGATGTGAAGTTCTGTCCTTCTGAGAAGAGTGTGTGCAGATTTCGTTAATGGAAATAATTGAGTAGCGCTCGAGAGAGAGGAAATCTACCAAGTAGTTTTCAGTGGCTCCAGATCCTCAAAACAGAAAACAAGCGTGGGTGACGACGTGAAGAAATTGGAACTTTGTGCCTTGCTGCTGGGAATGTAAAATGACACAGCCACTAAGGAAAGCAGCCTGTGGGCTCCTCAGACAGTTGTACCTAGGACTTCCATCCAATCCAGCGGGTCCACTTCTGAGTGTGTACCCAGAAGAACTGAAAGCAGGGTCTGGGGTCCACTCGTGCTCATCCCAGCATTGTTCACTATAACTAAAACCTGGAAGCAGCTGGGGGTCCATTGTCAGCAGATGAGCAGAATGTGATCTGTCCATAGACGGTGGAATATTGTTCCGCCTTAAGCAGGAAGAACACTGGACACATGCCACAGCATGGATCAACCCGGAGGACGTTGCGCTCAGTGAAATGAGCCAGTCACGGAAGCGTCCCGCGTGATTCTTATGTGAGGGACCAGAAGAGTTGGCTCTCAGAGGTAACAGTAGCTGGTGGTTGCCGGGGGCGGGGTGAATTTGGAGGTAGTGTTGAATGGAAACAGGGTTTCAGTTTAGGAGGTGGAAGGTTCTGGAGATGTGTAGTGGTGAGGGCTGCGCAGTAAGGTGATGCACACAGTGCCCTTAGAAATGCTAAAGGTGGCACATTTATGTTACGTGTATTTACTGCAGTTTAAAAAAAAACTTGAGGGGGAAGCGGCTTTAGGCCCATGCAGGGAATCGACCAGAGTTCTTCCCTGTGGCTTTCGTGGCTGGCATCGCTGGTTCTTGTTTCTCCCAGGAGGCCAGCAGGGCAGGGCACCCTCAGATGGGGAAGCGAGTGAGCCTGAGGCTGGGCCCACGCGGCACCTTTGGAGGCTCTGCACACCCGTGGCGGTAACTCGTGTTATCACCCAGGACTACAGGACGCCTC